TAACTAAATATGTAAATATTCCGAATGGGATTAATATTTTTTATATCTGCCGTATTGATAATAGGCCTAGCAATACTGTTTTCATATCAAAAATAGTTAATATTTGACTGAATTTTCATTGTAAACTCTTCCAAAACTCTACCAGAAACGAAATTTTTGTTTCCAAACACTGAAAAAGGTGTCTTTATTAAGCGAGACATTTGTTGAGTTAGGTCGAACAAGACATTGAACATCGTAAATTTAAGGACGGGCTAATTTGTGGTCCACGAGGAGCGGTAACGCGACCATAGGCAGCGCCGTCCGTGTAAGTAAGGAAGGGCGAGCAAGAACATCGCACCACCGCAAAGTAGCTCTCCGCGCCACAGAGATAGGGCTCGGCAGTCTCTCCGGCTCCGGATCGATGTTACAATATTGTAATAATACACACGGCGCGAGCAGAAGCGACGGCAGCCGAGAGCAGCCGCTCCGCCGCCGCCGCACAACATTTGTACGACTAAATAGAGAAAACAATGCCCGAGAATTACAAGCGACTAAAGCCCCTAATGCATAATGGAGCAGAGCGCAGGAATAATCGTCGCTGTCGCAATTTATTATCTCCAGAGAGAGAAAACGGACGGACGCTCTGTGTGATTTGAATTTTTATTTTATATTCGTATTCCTGTGGAACGGATTTCGTTTAATGCTCGCGTCGATTTGCCCCTCTTTTTTCTCCGTGCAAAAACTGTACAAGCTGGAAAAAGCGAGTGGAAAAATATACGGTTTGATTAATTTAGGGCTTTTTCCAGCACCGCAGTTTGCGGCTTTTCGGACGGTGAGCAGCAGTCTAGAGATAAAAATAATAATAAATGAAAATGCTAGTAGCTGCTGCGAAGGATATAAATAAATATGTATAAAATGCCAGCGGGTGGCTTGTTACTTTGTGATTTGCACGCGGAGCGCAGAGTTTATCGAATTAAAATGTAAATATTCTGTTTTTGCACCAGTTGAGCTCAAAGCCTCAACCACCGCAGGCTAATTACATTTGTATACAATAGGCAAGTTGGAAATATAACTTATTTCGATTTAAAGATATAGAGATTTTAATGTATATATTATTATAATCAATCAAGATCCAAAACCCGAAAGTCATAGTTTTAGAAGTAAACTCATTGTTATTGCTATGGCCAGAACTATATATATATGTTTTTTACAAAAAAAAAAAATACTTATGACAAGAAAATAATTTTTAAAAAGTTCAGATAATTATTAAAAATATATTGTACATGTATTACATTAAATTTTGCTGAAAATGTCATTAATAAATAATAAAAAAAAATTAAATATATAGTTTAATATTTTTATATGTAAAAAGAACTGCATAATTTTTATCTGCAGCAATTTTATATTTTAAAAAATAAAATATAACTCTGTCTACGAATTGCATTTAAGTTGTTTTTATAAGTTCTTTATATTTGATACTCACTAAGCAGTTAAATTAATCTTTATTTACACTTTAAACTGCCTGTAAATATCAAAGTAAATTGTTATGATTTGAGACGCTCCGCCAGTGTTCATGTCAAAGAACAAAAAAACAAACACGATTTTTTTTCACTCCAAACATTGCTGCGTGTGTACGTTTTTTTTCTTTCTACTCATTCGATTCATTTTTTCCTCCTCTTTTTTACGTCGACATTAATGTTTCGACTTGTTAAGTAATTCAGCGGGCCAACCATAAAGGTCTTGAAATTTATTCGATTCAAGAGCGGCGGCAGCCAAGATTCACATGCACACACGCATATTTATATAAAAAAAAGGAATATAATTCTGGCAGCTGGCTCGACAGCTCGTAAAATGCGTCGAGGGAAACCGTGTATGTATGTGTTTTGTATACAGATCGTTCCACTTCTTTCAACTGGCTGCTGTGCCGAGATAAATAAGTGGCGGCATAATTTATGCTGAAAAAAACTACTAATGGGTCCTCTTTCTTTACAAGATTAAAATCATCACCCACGCTCAAATTGAAATCCGATCAATCAAAATGCCATCAAAGTGGAATAATTTGTCGTTAATTAGATTAAACTAGTTGTCGGAATAAATGTCTGCCAGTCAAAACAACTCTCGCCTTTCCTCGAGAAGTTATGATTTGTGCTTATCTTTTAAGTGTTGCTGATTAGAGTGGGTTTGAAAAATGTGTCAGGCCGACGACCACTTAAGCTTTTTATCGCATTTTTTTTTTTTGCATCGATGTATTTTCCGCTGTCGTGATTTTTACCGGAAGCTTCGACGGCGGCCTTCGTTTGGCGAATATAGTTTTTATTTTCATCCTTGATGAGAGAAGAGAGTGAAGAGCGAGCGTTTGAATTTGTAATTTGGCCGCTCTTGTAATAATGCCGAATAAATTGCAGGGCGAGTTCTTGAGCAGCTAGGGGGATGGAATCGAAACACGACGGATGCTGCCGCCAACCCGAGGGGGAGAAACGCCTATGGCAGGGATGAAGCTGCGTTTTATGAATTATTCAGAACCAAGAGAGAGAGAACGTTGACTTGAATTGTGGAAACTTCAGATTTGATCAAACTCCAAAGCTCGTTATAAATAAAAACTATTGACATCATTTTGTTTCAAATAAAAATAATTAATTTTGAAAATTTACCAGCACGTTTTTTAACATAAAACGGTGCTAAAATATTTGAAACAAAACAAAAATGATAACTTAGATTTGTTCCATCAAAACATTTAAGCTGTAAAAATTCCTGACTAATTATGTAATTATTCGTCAAATTGATTAATTTTTTGCCTCGTAAGACCGTTCTAAGTCAGCTGTTTTTAGTTTTTACTTCAGAGTCCAACAATCAGCGATAATCAAAAGGCCTTTTAATATGTTAGGGCTAAATAATTCATTGCCCCTGAGCTCAAAATTAGCCAGATTAGCTCTGTTGGCAAATATTTTATCGAGTTTAAATCCAGACACTTCTGACTTCTGACATATTTTTTTTTAAATAAAACTTAATAATAACTTTCATTATTTTTTTCGGCCTCACACTGAATACTCGCTCATACATTTAGGATAAAGAAATCAAGCAAAAATACAATAAAAATCAAAATCTGTCAAATTCTACTTATTAGTCTAACGTCTGCCTCAAATATTTTGCATGAACTATCAATATTATTTGGAATTAAAATTTTCTCATATTTTTCTCAACGGTTCACTATATATTTAAAATTCGTATATCCACGAATATGAACAAATGAACTACGGAATTTAACATATTTTTATTTACTTTTATTATTCGCACGAGTACGACATTAAATTAATATAAGATAATTGAGTATTGGAATTTGAATGCAACACAAAAACGGTTTAAAATCACATGAAATTGAATTAAATTAATTGTGGACTAATTTAAGCTTAATAATTCATTGAATCCATTCAAAAATATTTTAAAACGATCGCATTAATATGAAAAACCATCATCACCTTTATTTGAACGGCGACAAAAGTCAAGTTTATTAATTCTTCTGCTTTCAGTTGTAATTAATGATCGTCGAGAGAGTCGTCGAGAGAGGAGCGCGACTTGAGTTACACGTAATGCGCTGCCACCGCGAGAATTTATTATTTTTCCAAATGAAGAGCTTATACTTGCACCTCTTCTTATATAAAAGCATTTTATTCTGGGCACCTCTCGTGTACTTTACATGCACGCCGAGTACTTGTCCTTCTCTCTGCTTGTTTTGCAGTAATGGACGCTCGTGCACTTACACACGAGTGCACCACGGCTTTATTATTATTATTATTATTGTAATAATAATCGTAATTGACAGGCGGGCTTTGTGCATGCATACGTTTGTCGCCGCGGAATGTCAAATTTAATACGGAGCGCAAGTGCGGTGTGCATTTTAATCGATCCGTTGCCGGCGCGCGCGGATAAATCAAAAAGCCCTCGCGGAATAACAAGCATTATGTTTTGTAGCACTTTGCGATTAACTTAAATGGGATTGCGAATCCGAGCTGCTGTTTTCCACGACGACGCCAGATTAGATTATTCCGAACGAGCAACACTCTGGGTTTTAAACCTTTTCTCGGTACCAATTAATAAATTTTTTTTGTAAACTATCGGTTTAATTCAATTAAGCATGGATCGATTAAAACTTTTACCGAGAATTTATTTGCACGTACGCAGGTTAATAAAGAGAGTGGAGCTGGATTCCAATTCACATCCGCCGACTGTTGTATTTAATTTCAATTGCCTCTCTTCAGTGCTGCAGACGGACGACTTTTTGCATCAATTTAATTACGTTCTCCGACCAAAAGGAAATCGAGTTCAATGACATCAGTTTATTATGCTTAAGAAGCCAGGCAATTTTAATGGGAAAATATAATATTACGAAAATAATGAGAATTAAAGCAGCCAGAACAAGAGGTAACAAGAATTTTCCGCATAAGGACAAAAAATAAGTAAATCAATAATAAATTTGTAATTTCTGTGAACATATTAAATTAACAATAAATGGATACAAAGCTTACAAATTTTATAATTATCAGCGATTTATTACAGCTGCACAAAATTTAAGAAAGAAATTAAGTTTTAAATTAAAAGTAGATTAAACATTAATATTTTATATTTTTTGTTAAATTAAATATTATAATTTTTAATACTATTATTTAATTACTAATTTTATTCATTCTGTATGTTATTTTGTGAATTTGTTGTTTTGATCAATAATTTGATAAAAATAAAAAATTAATTATTTAAAAATTTATTAAAATAAATTTGAATTAACTTTCAATCAGGGATGGATTGAAAGGTTCAGTCCAGGTGGACTTTCCCTGCCTAGACGTAGTGTCTGTGTATTGTTTTTTTTTTCCTATTTGTTTTGACTAGGCGGCCAAATGTGTCAAACGTGACACTTGCCCCAGACGTGTCAACGGGTGCACCGAAGGGTGACCCCTGCGGCCGACGGAGTGTCAGTGTCGGGATCGGCGGCCGAGGGCGCAAAAAGGGCAAAAGATGAAGGTACTCACCTCTAGGTCTTCGTAAGACCTGAAGGCCAAAATGGCAAAGCCGTCGACGATGTCCTCCTCGTAGACGGGCTCCTTGGTCTTTTTGCGGCGGTTGGGCGGCTTGGTGGGCTTGTGCCTGGTCGGCGACTCGTCGTCGGCACTGTCGTCGGCATTCAGCTTGACCTCGGCCGACTTTTTAATGTCCCGCTCGGCCTGAATGCGCTGGGCGCGCTCCCTGCGCCGATTGCGCTGCTGCGTCCGCTGACTGTCCATGGCGCCGGCGGGCGGAATCGACCGCCGAATTTCGTCGGCACGCACTCCTGGCACACCCCTCCCTATTCAGCTGCAACACACGTCGGCCGCATCGTCAAAACGAACGAGTAAAACACGGGCCTGCTGATTCAAATGGCGGAGCCGCTCAGGCATCGCTCGCTGCTCGTTCGCTCCCACAAGCTAAGATGGCCGGGTATGCAGTGCTGCACGGCACGGCCCGACGCTTAGCACGCCGACTGCTGACGCTGGGCGCCGCGGGGCGCGCCGAATCCGCCGCCGGTCGCGAGCCTCGACATTCACGCGTCCACCCGAGTCGCGTTTCGACCGCCGAAACGCCGACTTCTTAGAGAAATTCGCGTCGCAATTGGCGTAGCAACAAACACATGCACACGACCGAGTCCTGTCTTCTCGCCTTCGGAGCATCACATGGGAGAGGCTCGGCCGACGTCGGCTCCCTCCGGCCCAGCACACGGATCCATCAGCTGCACACCGATTGTTTCGCCGCCTACAAATAGAAAAAAACATGTCAAAACATCTGTCAAAGATTACCAATTTTTGCTTTTTTTTGTTGTTGTTAATTTTATTTGTTTTTAAACAACATTAATAAAAACGGTGTTTAAATAAAAAATTTAATTCATTATAAGTTTTTTACAATTTTAATCTTTTTTATTTTCAATTAAAATTTATTTTTATTCTTTTATTAATAAAAAATTTTAAAATATAATTTTAATGTAGATTAGTTTTATACCCCTTCATTTTTTTTAATACATGGTAAAAAAATTTATATAATTCATTGGGGATATTCAATAGAAATGCTTGCACAATAGATATCCCAGGATAAATCTGAAACTGTTTTTTTCCCATTGTCCCAGGATAACCATATTCTAATTTCGCCAATTTTTTGTCTTCAATGCAATAGGTACAACTTTTTTTCAGTTTTTCTTACACCGCGTAAACGTGATAAAAATTTAACTCACTTTATATATAAACAAATTAGCTGGTTATTATTGATTTATTTTTTACATTTTGGCCAGTAAAAAACTATGACAGATCAAAATAATTAGAGGATTATGAAAATGAGGTTAAAACGGAGATTCAAAGCGAAACAAAAATTTGCGTCCAGTTGAATTTCAAATTGTTTTCAATTTACTATTGTTTAATCTTTTTAACTCATGCATAAAATAATATTCTAAATTTTGAAATATTTTGGTTAAATTAATTCAATATTATTTTTTTATCTTGCCACTGATTGAAAATTGATAGGAATTAGAATAAATTAACTATTCTTTACATTATTCAATAAAAAAGACTCTTGTAATATTTTGCTTTTTTTAATTTTTCATTTAAATTATGAAGAAAAAAATACGTTAAATTGTGAAACATTACAATAAAAATTTATTTAATGTATTTTTTTTCAGCCATTAATTTTTGTTTTCTTCTTCATCATCAATTTTTCCATTGCATTTCGATTATTCAAATTTTTTTCCTTAAATTGCTCTTTCAATGTCTGCTGCACCACTTTTGCTTGGCTGTGTAATCCGCGCCAGCATTTTTCTGTCTCATATCTTATTTTGTGAGCCTTGTTTACTCCTCGGACACTGATGTTTGGATTCATTATACTGCATTATTTCTTGTAAATAATTGGTCAAAGGAGGCATGCACGACATCTGACCTCCACCCCGCGCGCATTTTCAAGTTCAGCCACTTGTCCGTGTCTGCTTCTGTGACCCCACAGCGGTGGACACACGTGACTTAATCATCTCAAGAGCAAAGAGGAGACAAAACATAAAAAAAAAAATAATGATAATCAGCCAGTAACATGAATAATAATCCAAAGATATTTAGAGCCAATTTAGAAAACTAGGCACACAAGTGCTATAGTGAACAAGTTGAACAACTCACTGAAACTCGTAGATATTAACAAGAGGAGCTATAAATAATAAATACCTGATTAGTCTGAATACTCACCGCACTGTAGCCCATATAAGCCTATAAAATGTAACCCTTTGGATTCATCCCGCGATATCTTTGATACCTGGAGAGCTAAGTTTAATGCTTTTATGCCATAATTACGGTGCATGTATCACAAAGATTAATTTGGGATCTAATTAACATGAAAACAAAAAGGATACAAAAATTAGCATATTAAGTCAATACAAACGGCCAAATTCAAAGGAATTCTTTATCTTTCAATTTCACTTTTTTTTTGCAAAATCAATTTTATAAAATAATAGCTAAAATATGTTTAAAAACTCCTGTTTTAAAAGAACTGTGGCTTATTCATTTCAGTACACTAATACTTGTTTTAGGAAAATTACTTCATATTAATGTTGTTAAGATAATAAGATGTTTTAATAAAATATATGAGATTTCCAGTTTCCAGTGTGGAATGTGTATTTTTTTGTCTCTAGCATATATTTTTAATTGCACCTGGTTGATAAAAGTAAATTATAAAAAAGAGCCAATAAGAAGGGAAAAATAATCGTCAACTTGTACGTATATTTAGTTGCAGAGTATTTGTGTTTGATTCAGAATCCATCTAGCTTTTAAAGAACTGATGATGAAATTACAAAAATAAGCCGATAAAAGGCATAATTATATTTGTTCTAATTTTTTAAAAAATAAAAGGAGGGTAAAAAAAAATACTTCATATACTCTTCACTCACCAAACAATAATTTGAAAAAATATCAGAAAAACAGAAAATTTTATTTAACAGTGATATATTATTGTATTATATTCAAATAAAAATTTTATGATTCCAATGTTGGATTAATCAAACGCATGTGTATAAATGTTGATTATTTAATCATTATAAAATCTGCCATTCCTACGTGTTTGTGATTTTTTTCTTTTTATTGTTTCGTTCTTCTTTTCATTTATACTTAGAAAATATTTTGTATATACTTTCTGACGAAATTGAAAAAAAAAAATTAAATTCAGAATTTTCAATTTCTTCTCTGGTGACAATTAGCTGAAGTGCGTTAAATGATAAATAGAATTTTAATATAGGATTACAAAATAAAACATTATTGGAATACGCTGGTTTTAAGGATTTTATTTGAAAATGTGTCTGTGCTCATCAGGTACTTTTTCACAATTTAAGCAATCCCAATTGTTTCCGCGGGCACTGTCGATTTTATTAAACGTTTCCAAAAAAGGCATTCATGACAGCGAGTGCCCAAGGCAACAAGAGACAACCGAAAAGTCGAAAAGTGTCCGATGCGAATGATGAAATGCCGCAAATAAAATTAATTTTTTACAAAGGAAAAATCGGCGTTTCGATAAGGCAAAAATTATACAACATAATATATATTCAAATCGGGGGGGAAAACGAAGTCAGCGACAATGAATGAATTAATTTGTTACAGAGCAATTTAAATAATCGATTACCACTAATTATGACACAAATTCTTCAAAAACAGAAGCAATAATACTCTCGCCTTTGCTTACTAAAAATTATTGTACATACACATAGTGTATCAAAATTGTGGCATGTTTTTGAAAATCATTCACAAATCAAGTCTGTCTCTTTGGGTGTTTTTCCAACCATCAATCAATCAAAACTTTCAAATTGCAGAGAGGTTAATTGTTCTTTGCTTTATCACTGTTTGAGAAGCACACTGAACATTCATATTCGCCTCGTCATCATCATCATATAAATACGTAATTACACATTACTTATGAAGACAGGTGGGAGTTTGCGTGTTTAATTACGGATTTACGCGCATTCTTGAGATCGTACAAGAGGTGTGGTGCGGTTCTTTATATACCCTTTGCGATGTGTCCTGTTAAATTAATATTTACAATATCTATGTACACACTTAATTTTTTGTGAATTATTGCTTTCTTTCTTTCTTTTCAATTACAGGCTAATTAAGGGGCGACGCGGACAAAAACAGAAAGTGGCTCGCGCGGATGATATATATAAAATTCTGAGTTTAAAGAGGTGCTAACTTTCTGGCAGTTTGACAGCAGCCACGGCCAAGGAGAACTTCTTCAAATATTCCCACGCTTTTTTGGTCTTTGAGCTCGTTATATCATTATTTTATATAATTCTCTGTCTCAGTTCTATCACACAAGATAAAGCATGAGATGTCTTTAGTTTGTTTAAAAATACACACGATTTATATAAATTGAATTAATAATTGCAATCGGAGTAGGTTTATAAATATTCTATCACAGGATAGGAACTCTATTATTTTATATAAAAATCGCCGTCTCTCTTGGCCAAGCGTGCGAATCAAACTGCCGAGCAGGCGGAGGAACAAAGAGCCACTTGGTGCTTTACACGGTCAAGGTGGAAGAACGAAAATCGTTAAACCTACTGAAAAAAAGCAGAAACCTATCACAATTTTTTACAAATTAAAAAGAATGCTATACAATCTAAGCCCGATTTTTTTTGTTTTAAGAAACAACTTAATTATTTATTTTTCAAATTTGAAACAAGTTTGTAATTTTTTATGTTTAGAATTTAAACTTTCAACTTTTTGTATTGTTTTAAACTTAAGCGTTAGCAAGGGAACAAATCTACGTGCTAGGAAAATGAATAAATATTTACAAAGTAGCAATTAACTGGCCCGACGATGTCACTTTCACTTCTTGCTAAGTTATGTAAAAATCAACTTGTACAACGCATCATAAAATTTGTGCAGTTTTTCCCCACAAGGTCAATTGTTTGTCCATTAATTGGCTACAAGGCAACAGGATTCAGGTTAGTCGATTTCTGTACAAAATTTTACCCAATATAATATTCGATAACAGGTGTACATTAAATAGATTTGTATATTCCAACAATCCTGAGTTGATTCGAGGTCCTTTTAGAATTATTTTTCATTTTCAAGGGGAGGTGAGTTTAAAAATTGTTCTGTCTCTCTGGTCCCTAAGTAGAATTATAAAAAAAATGCTACTGGAATGATTGGTGAGTGTGATTTTTTTACTTCTCTAATGTCAACAGGCGCAAAGCCGCTTATATTACTTGTAAAAAGTTTCCAATATCATGCATCTGGCTGGGGCTCTTGCGCAATTTTATTCTCCAATCTTACATGACACAAAGTGGAATGGAGCGTGGTGTGTTCAGACACAATTTTGCCATCAGAGAAATGAGCACAGCGCGCGCGGTACGCTTCTGATAAAGTTTTTTTTACCGACGAGCGTACAAGATCAATGGGGTATGACCTCAATGTTCTTTGATCATTAGGGGCAGACAGACACTTTGTGACGCAAACTTCTTGCAAATTCATACAATGTGTGCCAAAAAGATAAGGTGGAAAGTAAAGTGAATCAATTTAAAAATGTGAAAAATATGGAAAAAAGAAACTAATAAATTTTGCATTTAATGAAGCAGAAGCTTTCTGGAGGTAGAAGAATTCTCTAATAACAATCAAAAAGCCTAACTTGGCCTAGGCTACGTTAGCTCATCATCCAAGTTGACTTAGCCTTTGACTTCAGTCTTGGCCACTGTTAACCCAAATGCAGTCAATGGCCATGTCTACTTGCAGCTTATGTGTACACTTTTTGTAAGAATTTTGTAAATTTGTCTGATTTTCATTAAAATTTTAAAATTTCAAACATCCAAATTTGATGAAAAGCTAGGTTTTTTTATGATATTCTATTTTAGAAAACAAATGAACTTAACCAATATTTCTTAAAAAGATCTGATATCAATTTTAAACTTTTGGAATTCTTAACAATTTCAAGACAATAAAAATGATTTTGTGTGGCGAAGTTCGGGAAATTTCTAATCATTTGCAAAAAGTTGTGCGCAAAGTGTTGCCCTAGCTACTTCCACGGCAGACATTGGCCAGCTGGAGGTAGGGTCAGTCGTTGAGGTTCTTGCTGAGGAGCAGGTTGTTGTGCGGTCCGGACAGATGCCTGATGAGCTCCTGCAGGTTGTCGAAGGACATGGTGCAGAAGCAGCAGTTGAACCTGGCGTTGGGGCCGTCGACGGGCGACGACGAGATGACACTGCGGTGCACCGAACACAAGTGTTTCAGCAGGTGGGCCTTCTGCTTGAACATGGCCACGCACAGTCTGCAGGCGAAGGGCTTCTCGCCGGTGTGCACCCTGAGGTGCGTCTTCAGGTTCCAACTCATGCCGAACGTCTTTCCGCAGTACTGACACCGGTACTCCCGGACGGGCACTTGTTTCTGCTGGGCCGGCGCCTCCAGCTGGGCCGGCGGCGGACTGGGGTCGCCCCCCTCCACCTGGGCCTGGCAGAAGGACCAGGCCCACGCCTCGGCGCCGGCCGCCGCGTGGAACAGGGCGCTCGGCGTGATGGGCGAACTGTCTGCGCTCGGGGGTCGCCGGACGCTGGGTTTGTCCTCGTCGTCCACCGAGGCGGTGCCCGAGGGCAGGCTGCGCTCCTCCAGCATCATGAAGGACGGCGGGCAAGGAACGAACGGCGTGTTTTTGCCCGGCGGATTCGAAAAGCCGAGGCGCTGCCGCTGCCGAGGTGGCGTGTACGGCACCTCCATGTCGCCCAGCACGGCCGTCACGTATTTCCGAGGGTTGAGCGACACGTGGTGTGGCAGCAACTCGTGCGCCCGCCGCTTCCCGCGCGGGGACACACAACGTCGGCCCACGATCAGTTCAGGGCTTGGCGAACGGATGTAGGCAGGGGAGCGCCGGCTGAGATCGGTTGTGATGGAGATCCCTCTTTCGTGGGCCTGCAAATTATTTTCAAATTAGAAAATTGAAGTCAAAAGGAGAAAACTTGTTTTGATTGAAAATAAGCTCAATATTGGAAACGGCTCATTTTTCAACAATAAATTGATTGTAAAAATTTAAAATCAATAATTTTTAGTTAAGAAAGTTAATATTTTCATAGAGATTAATTTGTTTTAATATACGAACCAATTATTATGAAAAAATCAGAAAAGTTGTTACATTTTTCAATTTAAAAAAGATCAAAATATTCCAATTAATAGGGGGGTGGGGGTATAAACGCCTAATCTGACCCAGACTAACGTTATGCTTTTGAATCCCCCTTGATTTATTTATAAAGTAAAAGCCGTTCCATTGCCATGATTGGTATTGAAATTTTTTCACGCACTTTTAACTTTTAAAATTAGTTATAATTTTCTATACTTTTTTAAAAATTTATAAAGAATTAATATAAATTAACATAATTTAAACTATTTTTAACGTCTGAGAAATTTTAAATTAAAAAAAAATTATTTTTTTTTAAAAAAAGTTTTTTTCGTCAAATTGAAATTTTTTCAATTTAAAAAAAAAAATACAGCAAGGAATTGATTTATATAAAACAAGAGGTTTAAAAGCATAGAATTAACTTCACAACTTTCTGATCCAAGTGGTCCAAGTAATTGATGCTGGACAATGCTTGTTCTTAATTGATTCTAGGGATAACTTAAATATTTTATCTCACTTCAAATCAAATTCAACTTCAAAATGGAACATTAACTGGGGAATTAACCACTTTTTACGGGGTGATTTCATTTATAAATGACAGGATAAATAATTAGCAAACAAAGATGGGAGGGAGAACTTCTAGAAAAGATTTCTTCAAATACCAACAAGTTTCCTGGTTTATTGAAAACAAATAAATTTAAAATAAAAATCTATTTCTTGCATTTAGTATAGTAACTATAGTATCGATAAACCAAGTTTTAATGAAATTAAAAATGTTTAAATAGAGATAATAATTAAATTTAAAATGAAAAGTAACAAAAAGCTTTAATATATTAATAAAAATTTCAAACTTATTTTTAACCAGTTAAAATTTAACTTTATTTAAGTTTTAATGTGATGTTCTTACGCTTCTCCTGACTTCAAGAGCTACATCCCCATTGATAGACGGTGGAGACTTGCTGCTCCTGCTGCTGGCCACTTCGGTCGTGCTGTGCCTCCTGCGTGGCGGGTGCCGCAAAGGTGGCGTTGGGGTGTTTCTCCGCTGGTTGAGGGACAGGTTGACAGGGTCGTTGTCCTGCTGCTGGTCGTCCTGCACGCTTTCCGCCTCTTCCGGTTCATCCAGTGGCGAGTCGGACCGCTCCTCCTCGATCGCGTCCACGTCCACTTCAAGACCCTCCGGACTCGATGCTTCTTGCTTCACATCGAACGAGTCGTTCGACTCTTCAGGATCCGCATCTTTTGAAACTTTCGAGTGCCTGTAAATCAAAATTAAATTGTTTAAGTTTTTCTACAAGCACAAGAAAACATTGTCTCAAAATTGTTTAATTTTTACAACAATTAAAGCTCATAACTTTCATAATTATTATTATTATTTACCTTCTTTTCTCACAACTATTTCAATACTAAAACCTCTTTGAACCTTTTTTTTACATTTTATCAACCAATTTTAAATACAAATTAACCAGGTTTCGTAAAATGGCCCCACCAACAAATTATAACCTTAATATGTTCAAGACCAGGTTATTTTCAGATTCGATATTTAAAAAAAAAAATCACATTCTTTGGCTACTCCTCAACCAAAAATAACCAATGTTAGCGGAAAAATCGGAAAAACTATTAGAAAATTTTTTTTCCCAAGAGTACTATAATTGGCTTATATACTTAGTCATAATTTCCATCTTGATTTTATATCCATTTACACAATTCCAACTAATGAAATAATCTATTTGCTAAACATCAATATCACATCACAATGTTCTTTAGAAACTACTATGTTATTACACTTGGAGCAGAGTTGGATAATTAATTTCATGAATTTTAAAAGTTATTGAAAGTATTTGAATCAAATTAAAATTTTATTTTGCATTAAAATAGTTCAATTACATAAAATCCATAAATAAAAAATTTAAAATAAATTTTAACATTAAATAAAATAAAATGTCCGGTTTATTTTTATATATAATATAAACAAAATATAAATTATTTAAAAAAAAATTAAAATTTAAAAAAAAAATTTAAATAAAAGTTTTGAACGTGTTTACCTGTCCCAGAGATCAGAGTCGACTCCCAAGAGCTGGACGAGTTCGTGCAGCCTTTCCATCTCGCAGGCCTTGAGACAGGCCTCGCCGGTGTAGAGGAACTCGAGGAGGTGGGCGGCGTCGTCCTTGGCGATGCCGGGCAGGTGGACGAGGACGGTGTCCTCGGAGGGGCCGAGACTGGGGCTGCCCAGCAGCAGGTCTCTGAGCAGGGGACTGGCCGAGGCGAGCACGAGGCGGTGCGCCTTGAGGCGGCCGCCATCGCAGACCAGCACTACGTCCGAGAAGCACTCGTGTTTGTACCACGCGCGGATTTCGCCGACCAGCGACGCATGGTGCTTGCCGTAGTGCAGGGTCAGCAGGCCCGCCGAACACCCCTCGGCGGCCACGGGCTTCACCTCGCCGTTCGTGCTCGACGGCGAGCCGCTCGAAGTCGTCGGTTGCATCGTCACTTCTGCAACACAAAATGGAAAATCAAATTTTCTGATAATCAGAAAGAAAAAGAAAACTAATCCAACAGGATGTGTGATTAGGTCCGGCTTCTTATAAAATTTCCAAGGAAGTAAGATTTTTATTGAAATATCTTACTTCAGAAAGGGGTTATCAAAAGGCGCAGATTAATTATTTTCTATTTAAACTCGAATTATCAGAGTTGCGATAAAAGAAAAAGAAAAACTTGCAAAATTATAATTATAGTAATTTTGTGAAGTTGTTTCATTTATTTATTCAATGCAAAATTTTGTCACAAAATTGAGAGAAATAAACAATACGTGTAGTGAGCAGAATAATGAGGATGCTATATTAAAAATCCTCTTTGATTGGAAATAAAACACTAATAAAAAGAGTTAATATTGCTTTGCCTTTACTTCAAGAAATAAACAGTTCAGAAAACCCACTACTAAAAATTAAATTCAAAATAATTACAAGGCGGTTATTTTCCTAAAGTTTTGTTCAGCATAGTTTTTCCAACCAAAAATATCCCTTTTTTTAATTTCACAAAATTCTAAGCAAATCTTAACAAATAGATGAGAAACCTTTAGGATTATTTCCTTCAGAACGGATTTTCCTTCTCTGTCTGGTCGCACTGCGTGTCCTCATGGAGAAGTTTTAGAAGAGAAAATATGTTTACAAAAATAGGATCCGACAACAAAAATGTCACCCTGCTGTCCACTGAGATCCGCCCCCTTATTTATTTACCCTGCCGCTCCACGAGGGCTGCGGCAGGTTGTGCGATTTTCATCTCTAGGGCGTACTGCCCTCTTCAGGTTTTTATCTGATACTCTCTCCCGAGCGAAGACCGAGAGGTAGGCAACTGGCCTCTCACGGAAGTCTCGCCTGCTGCATAATCAAAACGATTCGCTACAGAATTGAATTTATTTCCATCTAAATAAAATTATTTCGGTGAAGGAAAGTAATTTCTTTTATCGTAGGATAAATTTTTTCAATGCCAGTCTTATCCGATAGATCGATCCGAATTGATTTTCAATTGAATTTTATCATCAAAATTTATTGGTGTATAGAGGGAAGAAAGAATCCCTTTGAATACAATTTTGATCACTAAAACAGATAAAGAATGAAATTATTTTTGTTTATTTGTAAAAATATTTTCTGAAATTTGGAATTGAAAGAAAAATATTTGTTGAGAGGTAAACATTGAATTTATGGACACAAAAGCGCAATTACTAAAACAATGATTTTGATAAAACTTCAGAGATAAAGAAAAAACCCATTTGCAAATTTCTAGTTGTTACAAACCAATTGATGTTAAGTCTTATCAGTTATTCAATGGAAATTCGGTGACATTTTCAATAATTACAATCTAGCAGAATGTGAGAAAAAATTTTATAAAAGAATTCCAGATGCTGTGGCAACATTTAAATTTAAAATTTTTTCGCAGGTTTCCAAATTGACTAAATTTTCTTACCTTAACACTCATTGGAAACGACTTAATTTATTAGACATTAAAAGTCATCACCAAATTAAGTCATGCAATTTTTTGTTTTCGAATAGTCCTCCTTACCAATTATTAAGTGATTTTGAATTAGAAAAATAAAAAAACACAGGCCATTTCAGCTTTCCTTAAAGCAAATTTTCCATGAAAACATATTTTGCTCTAGTTATAAAAGCATTTATTGTATAATGACCTCTCTATTGTCACTAAAGACAGGATTTTTATGTGGAGCGTCAAGGGGTTAAATATTCACAGAGAGCTATGGGTGGCTTTCTCTGTTAAATATGCACGAGTGTGTGTTTTGTACTGTGTGTGCATACGAGAGAAAAATATAGATAATGCGATATGAATAAATTAGCGAGCGGCGGCGGCGACACATGTATGACACGAAATGCAAATGGGCAAGTAGTGGAAATTTACGAGTGTGACGAACTCGGCCGCGCAGCTCTTTCATCTGCCAGCTCTTGATTAACTCTCGGCGTTGGTGCGCATAAACTCGTCGCCTAATTGAACTTGCTAATCGACTTTTCCCGCAGCTTTCATCAGCGTACCGGGCATACGTTATTTACACTTATTTCCATACAATCGGCTCTGCAAACGTTTTATATAAAAATACAAAAACTTTAAGATCAATACCGTCGGAATGACTTTTTTTATTTTGAACGGCTTTTGTGGTGTCATTTTTAATTATAATGAATGAAAATAGAAAAAAATCTCGTTGATTACTTTGTAAAAGCAAAGAACTAGTATTTTGAAGTTGAATAAGAATTTGTTTTTCTTCCAGAAATGCTCATTTATTAAGACATGAAGCTAAAAAAAAAAAAACAGATTTCTATCAGTTTTGCTTTTTTTCTTCGTCGTTGTAGAAAACAATTATTTCAACGAGGGCAAAGCCAAATTTTTCACTCTTGAAAGTAAAAGTTATAATATAATCAAATAATATATCAGCTTACATATTTTTATTTAAAAATATTGCAAGTTTAGAGTCTTTTTTTATCTAACTGGAGCATATCATGTTTTTTACGCCTCTATTCAAAATATTTAAGCAGGAATTTGATCTCCTCGGGCATTTTTGGCGCAAGACTGCTGATTACGGCTTTCGGTTCTCAAGTTGCAAAAGAAGCACGCCCGCGTACGCTCCCCGCGCCTATATTGCCGCGCTCTTTATCGCGTGCGACTTGATAAAAAGCAAAGCTTATTTACCTAAAAACAGAGATGATTTTGTAATTCCACTTTCCTTGCCGGGATGGAATCAAAAACGTCACTCAGATAAGTGAAGGAGTGACCCTCAGGCTCTCCAAAATTACAAAACAAAGAAACAAAAACACAAATTTTTGCTTATAGAAATAAAATAAAATTTGTTTTTGGCTTTTAATTTTTTAAAGTTCTTATTTGATTTATGCTTGTAGCATTAATTTCTCATGCATCTGAAGGGAAAATAATTGTATTTTTATAGCTTATACTTTGGAACAAAATCTCCAAAAAGTATTTTTTGTGGTGCAGATTTCTGGAGGGAGCGAATCTGCCTGTATATTTTAAATTATTTAAATTTCCAAAGACCGAAAATTATGTTTTGTGAAAATTGAATTTTCCAATCAGAAGTTTAACATATTAATTGGCATTTTAATTCGTTTTCAAGTAATTGATATTTTCCCACTTGAGTTTCAGAAATTCACGATAATTTTCAATTTTAAACTAAAAATTGAAACAGGAATTTCTCTGAACAAACAAACATGACATATCAATTGTAAAAAAAAAAAACATCCACTTAATACCTAAAAAAATAATTCTTTTTATTGTATATTATTTTTTTTCCATTTTGCCTTTTGTGAACACAATAATCTACAAATGAAATTAAAAGAGGATGAAAGAAAACTAAGTTAACAGAGTCTGCGACTGTGGCGGATGGGGTTTATTTTGAACTTGAATGTTTTTCTTTTGCTTTGCAAAAACGTTGCTAATGGTGGTGCCTCTTTGTTCAATTCAATTCGTTTGTTCAACAACTTAAAATGTTTCTTGTCAATAATATACAATTTTCAAATTAGAATCCTTCCTTCCAGTTTCCGTGCGTTTCAACAAATTTATACCATATAATGCCCAATGATACATTAATTAACATGCTTTGAAATTAAAAACAAAGGTCCAAATATTATATTGTTTCTCCAGCAACATTGTGTACAAGATTGAATGACATTACTATCATTGCGCATAATTGATTACCCTAGCTCAATTAAAAAATTGATAAAATTAAACTTTGACCGGAAACTTTTATATAAAAGTTTTATATATATAGTTCCTTCAATGAGGACCTCAAAATTACAGTAAAAAATAAAATACTTAAAAATTATTTTTTATAATATTTATAAATATTTAAAAGTAAAAACCAATTGGTTTTTAAAATGTAAATAAGAGAGTTTATTACTTATCTTAAATTATTTATTATGTTTGAATTAACTACAATACTTGAATTTTCAATAAAATGTTAAAATGTGTATTATCTTGAGCAAAAAAGGAGGAGTCGAATAAATGTTGCTATGCGTGATGTGCGCGCGGCGTGTGTTGAAAGAAAGGACACACAACTCTCGCGGCGGCGTGCATGCATAATAATATAAAATACAACCACCGTCGCCCTTGAAAATATGTATTTTTAACAGTCAAGGTAATTAAATACGGAACGCTAATTACGCTCGCTCTCATGTGCAATTACTCGCATACAAAAATTTGCATCATCACCTGAAGAGGAGCAAATATGGCGTGCCTCGGCGGCTCGCGAGCTGCTTTTCTTCCTTTCGAGCTGCTAGCCTTGAAATAATTTTCACTTCAAGGTCGGTTGCAAATTACTTTTGTCTTTGAGAGTTATTCTCACTTTACAACCATTTATTCCGAGACGCCGTTTCCTGGTCTGCGCCGCTTTCGCACGCAGCTTATCATCTTGCAATGCAAAAAGACGGCTTAATTGCCCGAAGAAAATAAATAATAATAATCCTCTTTTTTACAACTTCCGTACTAAAATAACTAAAAATTCAGTTAAAAACTTGTTAGTCTGGAAATCATTAATTAAAAAATCAATATAGGTTGGTCTTTTATGGTTAATAATAATTTTGTAAATTAAATATTTTTTTAAATTAAGTACGTATGTAGCTTCAGATTTAATTTTATTCGAATAAATGTAGGACTGATAATTTTTTTAAACACTTAATAAAAACGATATTTTTTATTAATTTCAAGAGCATTGAATATTTTCTCTGCAATTCCACTTTAAATTTAAAACGATTGAAGTTTTTGCTTTTCTTAATTCAGAGATTTGCAACAGCAAACGATTAAACAAATTTAGCATTATTTCAATTTATATTAAGAAGATGGTTTAAATTTTATAAAAATTTCAAGACAGCAGAAAATTTCACTTTTTTCGGGGGAAACAAAAACTAAGTCAAACCAATATGAGAGGGTCATTTTGATCTTCAAATTTTTGGTTAAATCTTTGCTAGTGGTGAAGCCGTTTT